TTTTTTTTTTTTTGATGACTTTCTAACATACGCGTAGCTATTTCTTAGTTGTTTCTCTCTCAAATAAGAATAAAGGCAAATTTCCAAAAGAAAGACCTTACATCATAAAAGTTATGGATATTAAAAGTCATCAGTTTGAATGTCTACATCAGCTACAGTAAGCTGAAAGATCAGGAAGTCATTAAAACAGAGAATTGTATAAAAGGTAGCGACTGTATATAAACAATGACTGTAACCACCATGACATCACCCAGTGGTTTGGATTGTATTTTTAACTCGAGTATTTTAACTGTTGCCATGTTGGTTTTAGAGCCAGGAGTTACCATATTTGGACAAGAGCATATATCAGGTAACACTAGTATTGGACAAATGCATGGCGTTAGAGAAGTAGTATTACTAAATTTATAGTTGCAATCCTTTATTTTAGTACTGTTGGGTAACCTATCCTAGAAGCAAGGCATTTTTATAAACAGGAAAATATTCATGGCTCTGTCAGCATCACACTAATGTCATCGTTTAAACTTGATTAGCATTATGTGCTAGCCCTACCTTCTCCAGACGGCTGATTTTATTTTCTGTTCTCGTCAGACATCAGTTTCCTTCCCCGCCCAGCCATGGTGTGGTGTGAGCGAGGGATCCAGGTGCTGTTGACCACCATGGGAGCTTTTGCAGCTTTTGCACTGATGACAGTGGCTATTGGAACTGACTACTGGCTGTACGCCCGGGCCTTCATCTGCAACAGCACAGCCAACTCATCGCAGGAGGACTCCAACAATAAGGACAAGAAGGATCCTGGGGCGCTCACCCACTCCGGCCTCTGGAGGATTTGCTGCCTGGAAGGTGCAGTTGGTTGTGTGTCTGTTTGCATATTTGAGACCGTGCGATGCTTTCAGCGCGCTGTGGGAGGAATTTTGGTGTGTTTCTCATGTGTTTGTCACCAGAGGGTCTTGGCGAGGTCAGTGTGCTCATGAGACATAAATAGGTGTCTTGTTCAGTAACCCAGCCATATCCACACACAGTGTCTATGTTGCTCTACTTTTCTCCATTTTATCCATCAGTACATTAACATTTTGTAATTCGTATCAAGCCAGCCGTAGTAGCATATGACTGGTAGGGTGCAAGAATTAGAAGTTGCTGCCTGCTTGGCTTGATTATAATGACATTTATACTATAAATAATATAGCCACATTTTATTGCGTTACATCTGTTGAACAAATTACATCTATAGACCCTAACTGCAGTTTGGTTTCTGCTCGAGTGAATAAAGCTCCACAGTACTGGACCACAGACAAAACAATTTGGTCCAGGGTGTGCAGGCCGTGTAGGACATGCTATTAACCTGCTTCAGCCACACATGTTGTACACCTCCACCCCACCTCTTCCTTTATGCTCTGTCTGACTCGATCGATATATCTGTTTTTACTGGTGCTGTTCTACTCGCTTCTGAACGGAGCTGCTGCTCTAACTGTCTTCATATAGGCTCATGGAAGTGCAGCAAAGTGCCAAATATAATCGCCTTCTAATGGAAATAGCGATCTTCTATTGACTAAAGTATTAAATTTGTAATTAATAAAAAAAACGATTAGGATTAAATCTTTTGTTTCGATTTACGCAGAAAAAGCACCCTCGTCACGGTTCAGGGAAGACTGTTGTTTTGATAATAAACTCTTCATTTTAAGTCAAATCTGGCTATTCCCATATTAAAGCAGAGCATGAGGCCAGTGCCTGAACATAATTATAACAACATTTTAAATGTAGTAATCTAGATTGTGTGTTAAACTGCAGTTGCAAGGCTATAAAGTTCCCACTCAGTTACATTGTGTGAATAGAGTGGATGTAGAAGCTATTACTGT